TATATAATGAGAAAGAGAATTCCTGTTTCTTTCTCTTCCACTTCAAGGCCCAGTCTCCATAAACAACCCCTATTAACACTGTTTTCCAGAAATTATCTCTGCATTTACAAACTTTCCCTCCCCTTGAAACAGAATAGTTTTTCTCCCATGATGTCCTCCTCCCCAGTCTTTTACAAAGTCCCTCAGCATGCCAGATCTTATATCTGAATCCAACTCATTCTTCCTAACTTCTGTGTAATATTCTCCTGTATGGATGAACCTCAATTTATTCACTTTACAAAAGTCCTCTGTTGATGGTTTTTTATGTTATTTTTTATGGTATTTTCCATTATGAATATTTAAGATTTTAAAGCCTTTTATTTGTTCTAAATTTGGGTCATTCTAGAAATTTGAATTGAAATATAAAAAGAATATTGTTGACGATTACATCATTTAGAATTGAATATCTTTTCATCTTCATTTTAATACCATCCTTATTTTAATTTTTAATTTATTCTCTTAAATTTCAGCAATGTCATGTTAGGTAAAGGCAGAAAGTAGGGATGATACGAGCAAAGTGTAAGGATACAGTACAGGAAAGTGTAAGGAAATATTTAGTGTAATTGAAAGAGACATGTAAAATTGAACTTTTCAATTTTAGTAATTTTCAATGTTAGTGTTAAGGAAATTGAATAGGCTTTTTTATTTTTTAAAGTAGAATTCAAGTATTATGTCCAGAATGAACTCTAAACGGATCTGAGATATCAATATTTAAAATTTAGACCATTTTGAAAAAAATGAGTTTTGTTTTATCCTTGGAGTAGGACATCCCTTTATAATATGATTTAAAGTCTAGGAGCCATAAAAAAAAAAAAAAAAGATTGATAAGGCTATTAAAAAATCTAAATAAACCCCATGGTGGTACTTGTGTGCTGCTAAGACAGTTCTGACTTGTAGCAACCCTGTATAGGGTACTTGAAGCTGTCTATCTTTTTTTGTTATTAGGTGCCGTCAAGTCAGTTCTTACCCACAGAGACCCTATGTACAACAGAATGAAACACCTCCCGGTCCTGTGCCATGCCTAATTGCTGCCATGTTTGAGCCCATTGTAGCTGCCATAGTGCCAATACATCTTGTATGGAGTGTCCTGTTTCACTCTCCCACCACTTTACCAAGCATGATATCCTTTTCCAGGGACTGGTCCTTCCTGGTAATATGTCCAAAATATGAGAGATGAAGTCTGACCATCTTGACTTCTAAGGAACATTCTGGTTGTACTTCTTCTTGCAGTCTATTGTACCTTTAATATCATTCTGCAATATCACAACTCATATGCATCAATTTTTCTGTGGTCTTACTTATTCATTGTCCAAGTTTCACATGCATATTTGCCTGTTGAAAATACCATGGCTTGGGTCAGGCGTAAATTAGTCCCCAAACAGAGATCTTTGATCTTGAACACTTTAAAGAGTTCTTGTGCAGCAGATTTGCGTGATGCAATGCTTTGTTTTCTTGACTGCTGCTGCTGTGAGTGTTGATGGTGGATCCAAGCAAAATGAAGTCTTGACAACTTCAGTCATTTCTCCATTTATCGTGATGCTTGCTATTTATTGTTCCAGTGGTGAGGATTTTTGTTTTCTTTATGTTGAGGTGCAATCCATACAGAAGGCTGTGATCTTTGATCAGCAGTAAGTATTTTAAGTCCTCTTTGCATTCAGCAAGCAAGGTTGTGTCATCTGTATATCGCAGGTTGTTAATAAGTCTTCCTCTAATCCTGATTCTGTGTTCTTCTTCATATATTGCAGCTTCTCAGATTATTTGCTCAGCATTCAGACTGAATAAATATGGTGAAAAAATGCAATCATGGTACACACCTTTCCTGATTTTAAACCATTCAGTGTCCCCTTATTCTGTCTGAACGACTGCCTCATCTTTCTCTGGCAGAGTGGCATAGATTGAGACTGCTGACCTTGTGGTTAGCATCCCAGCTCATAATCTAGTGTGCTACCAGAACTCCTTAAATAAACCCCATAAATAAGGTCAAAACAAAATTACAAACTCGGAAAAGGGATTTGCAGCTCATATCACAGAAAAAGGATTGATCTCCCTAATGTATAATGAGTTCTTAGAAAAAAATTTAACAGTTAAGTAGAAAAATGGGTCACAGTAAAAAAAAAAAAAAAAAGTTCTTCTTCTTGGGTGTCAACAATTTTCATTCATAGCAACTTCTTTTGGCAGAGTGATTGGTTGATAGTTATGTGCCATGGAGTCGGTTCCAACTCATAGCGACCCTGCATAGGGTTTCCAAGGCTGTAAATCTTTACG